GGGAGTGGGCAGTGTGGCTCCTCGGGAGCACATTTGTCACCGGAGCTTGCCTTACGGACTCCCCGTGAGGATTTTTATCCACTCGCCGCTGGAGTTCTGAAGCAGGGGTTCTGCTTTTTTTCAGGTCCCCACCCCCACCCCATCCCCCGGTGTGCTTAGGGGTGCCGGCGGAAGGAAAGTTGCTGCCCAGTTACTCTTCAGACCCTAGGGAGGTTGTACCCTACCCTCCTTCCTTGAAGCTACCCTCCTCCACCGTACTTTGTCTTCCCTAGTTGAGTTCTAGGTAAACCCTCAATCCAGTGTAGTTTCTCTTTGAGACTGTCTGTCGTCCCTCCCTAAAGCACAGAAGTGCCTGGGCCATGTCTGTTCCAGCTGCTATATCAATCTGGATTCTAAGCCTTTGAGGGCAAAGAAAGTACTGTTCTGAGTCTTCCATGGAAGGCCCTGAAGGAGTCTGTGTCGAAGTGGCCTGCTGCTTTGTGTGTGTGTGTGTGTGTGTGTGTGTGTGTGTGTGTGTGTGTGTGTGTACTGCTTACTAAGGTAGGTTGCATTACACAGGCAGGGAGGAAGAACAGCACAGAGCTAACAGCTATAACCAAAATCTCCTAAGGGTTGTCACCAAATACGGTGAGTGATCCAGAGGCACAATAATAAATTTAAGGCCTCGCAGAACAGGGAATCAACATGTTTTCCTCCTTTCTTTTACCTTTTTTGTGTTATGAGCATACAATGCTATAGGATTTCATGACAGTAACCCTCTAAAAAGATTATGGTGAAGCCTTTAGGATGGCTTATCTGGTGAAGCTGCTGATGCTAAACCTAGGGACCCACACACTGGAAGAAGAGAACACTTGAAAGGTGTCCCCTTACCTCTAGACAAATCACTGTGGCACAGGCACTACCCTCCCATATACGAAATAAATGCGTAAGATTTAAAAACTATAAAATGGGCTGGAAAGAGGGTTCAGGTAGGGTAAGAGAGCTTGCTGCTCTTCCAGAGGACCTGAGTTTGGTTCCCAGCACCCATCACAGGTGGCCCACAACTGCCTGTAACTCCATCTCCAGGGGATCTGACATCTCTTTGGGCACCGGCTCTGAGGTGCACACAGCCTCACACACATGCTCAAGAACATACACACACATTCTCTCTCTCTCTCTCTCTCTCTCTCTCTCTCTCTCTCTCTCTCTCTCTCTCTCTCTCCTTCCCCTTCCCCTCTCTTTCTCTGAATAAACCTTAAATCCTGGCATGGTATGTCTTTAATCCCATCATTTAAGACAGATGCAGAGGCAAATAGATCTTTGTGAGTTCAAGGCCAGCCTGGACTTTACACTATCAAGCTACAGGCCAGTCAGGGTTTTAGAGTGAGACCCTGTCTAAAAAACTAAAACAAACAAATGAAACAAAATATCAAAAACTTACAAAATAAAAACAATGCAAGTACAGTCCCTTTAGATCACACACGCTCCTCATACAGTTAATATTTACTGAGCTCACGGTCTTAGCATCAGTTAGTGGGACAGGAACCCA